TCTAAACAAAAAATTTGATCATTGACAGCTTTTGCCAATCTCGAGCTACAATTTCATAGGGATATATTTTTTTTCCGCAAATCGATAGGAAATTTTGACATTCCAAACAAAAGAAAAAGTCAACATTTCCTAACTTTTAGGAAATATTCATTTTCTTACTGTAAGGAAATGATATTTCCTTACAGTTGTTAGTGTTCTACATAAATGATTGGAAACATGTTCTTTATAAGGATTATATTTTGAAAATCTCAATGCATTGCAGAATACATTTTAAATTTAGTTTGTTATATTTACAGTTATTTGACAGTTAGTATAATTATTGAACATTGGAGGAATATTATTAGAACTATGAGAAACATTTTGGACAAAATGCAGGGTAGTAGGGTTATTTTGTTGAACGTTTTGTACTTTGAAAATTTTATTTCCCATCTCAACCTTATTGTTAAGAGAATCTTCAATATATCCTTCAGCAACGTCTGATGACTAGTTATCTCGGCACCACATTCAACCAATATTGTTGCAGAAGACCGACGAAAGCAGTGACCAGTATATTCTGTCGGATTTACCAAGTTAAAATAAGTAGCTACTATTTTAGGCATTTTTCTAAATTGATGTATTCCTACCACTTGTCTACAACTCTTTCCGATTTGATATTTAAAGAAAAATCGGTCACTGTTCATATTTTCTGGTCTTAACGAAATATATTTTCGATAAACATTTAAGTACATCTGATTAACTACAAATGATCTTGGTTTGTTGGTCTTCGAATCAGGTACCTATGCTAATTAAAAACTTAGATTTTTAGGTCTTCTACATCGCGTAGAGTTATTCGGACTAACTCATCCATTCTACAGGCCCCAGAAATACCAAATATTAAATCCATCTAAAAAATAAATAAATAAATAAATAAATAAATAAATAAATAAATAAATGTGTAATCTAAATAGAAATTAAAACCTTGTAAATTACCTTAATCATTTTTCTTTATATGGAGCTTTCTTTCGCTTTGTTCCTTCGTTAAAATCTTAGATTTCTTTGCCCTATAACCTTGAGCTTGCTGTTTCAATAAAGAACGAGTTTTTGAATATGTAGATATATCTACAATCTACATTGTGTTTAATTGCAAGGGTTGACTTCAACATTGAATAATTGGCCCATATTTGTAAAAAACGCATTTTTTCAAGTTTTCCAGTTTCCCGGATTTTTTATGAACGCTAATCTTTATTTTTTATAACTTTGACTATTCTATAGTTTAAAGTGGTATCTGAAGAGGATCTCTGAATTTTTTTGAGACAAAATAATCAATATTTCAATTTTTATAAAGCTATTTATCACTGGGGTTCATACGTACCCCCACGAGTCCAGGTATGTTACTCAGGATGAGCATGCCAGGTAAAGGTTAATACGTTTACATAGTAACGCAACCAATTTTATTACGAATTTCAAAGCACCATTTATTTTCGAATAAAATTATTCCCGATTTTTTCAAAATTAATTAATATCTATCGAATTTTAAACGATTTGCGAAAAAATAGTATATTTACCTCGTAGGAAAAGCCACATTCCTATACTCGGTCTCGGCTTGCGCATCGACTTAGCAATCTTCACAGTCGCCCAGGAATGTTTGACTTTTCCTATTTGGTAAACAATTTACTATTTATTGCTACTTTGAATTTCACTAGGCATTATCGAAGTTTTTCGGAAACGATCCATTTTTTGTATAAGTTTTTTATAAATCGACAACACTGCAACCACGTTTGAAGCTGGATAATTGTCGATTGTCGAACATTCAGTTAGGTCCATTTATGTTTCACGCGGTGTTCCGAATTTAGCCCCCACGAGTTTCGCATTTACAATGGAATAATGGCCCTCTTTGTTTTCGAATGTGAATATTCATCTCTTTGTGCCCCGAGGTTTCTTCTTTAAACAAAGGTCTAGGAAGTGTGCCATTACAACATTTTCCGAAAAAGAACTCGTATTTTTACTCTTACGATATTCCATAAAACATGTATATGCATATTCGTACTTTTCTCTTGATTTCTTTGGCAATAATTCTAATAA